CCATCCTTCTTAATGGTCGTCCAATTCAATAATTAGAGTTGGATGTTGAGATATGGTTCCTTTGCTACCTTCTGGATGTACCATCCATGTTACAAGAGGCCTGGGATGGTTGGACTTAAGTAATTTGTAACTATAGTTTGGTTAAGTGGTTGCATGAATAGTGTTGTCCAAACAAAAGGGTATCATCCGACTCCATGGGATACCATCCCTTCTAGAATTCATTCGGGTCAATAGTTGGAGTTTTAGGTCAAGACAAGGTTACCTTGGTTTGGTTATTTGATGCCGCATAGTAGCCGAGTTCTTGCTATTGGGAAGCACCACACAACTTGTTGGAGGTATGTGGTAAATTTTGAGTTGTGAATTATGATGAATTGGAGCACCAATTATAGAGGAAAAAATTAGTTGTGTCCTGATAGGAATGAGTCTCCTTTTACTAGTAGGATACGAGTTAAGAGGATGTGTCCTGCATGAAAAAGAATTTGTGTTCCTTATCAAAAAAGGAAAAGGTAGACCACGTTATTTGGCTAAAATTTTTATTATTAGCCGATTTGGAGAGGGACACCCTCTTTATGTGTTTCGTTTACCTAGCCAGTAAGGAATTTAATTCCTTATATGATTTAGAGACATGGCTACATAAAGCCAACCTCTGCTTCAAGTGTTGGGCATTTAATAAAGTTGGTGTCAACAACTTAGTCTAGAATTTCTTAAGAACTATGTTGGGGGGGGGGGGGGGGGGGGGGGGGGGGGGCATTTGTTTACACCAAAATAATTATCATTAATTATTTCTTATATGAACTGCTTGGCCAATTTAAGTAGATGGTCCCTGTGTACATGGATGATCCAATTTATCAAGTTTGGGTCGTAGGATTAAAGGATGGTAGTGTTCAATGACATGAATACCATCCAAATCCAATAATGGATGGTAGTATCCAATAACATGGATATCATCCAAATCCCATTATTGATGGTAGTGTCCAATAACATTGATACCATCCAAATCCAATAATGGATGGTTATGTCCACATCATGGCTACCATCCAAATCTCATTATGGATAGTAGTGTCCAACGCTATGTACACCATCCAAACCCTATAATGGACACCATCCAAACTCAAAGTGGATGGTGTCATCCAACAACATGGATACCATCCAAATTATTTGGTGTATGGTGACCATCTAATTGTTCATACATGGTACGTAGGGTTGATTGTCCAGGGACATGATGACGTGTCGAAGGTGGTTACCAGAAGCAACAGCTGACTTGCAAAGGACGCTCGGAGGATTTACTGGATGCTACGTGGAGCTGATTTTCGGGAAGAGAGAGAAGGCGGTTAGAGGGTGAGACACAACAAAACTTGCAGCAGGGCTTTGGAGGAAGGATAGAAAAATCAAATCACAAACCGTCTCGTCAAAATTTATCTTTTCTCTTTAGAACAGTAACCGTAGCAGTAGCACCAGGGACCCTCCAACGAGGCTTCTCTATTTGTGGTAGTCAGTAGTTGCGGAGCTCTCAAGGAATCTCCATAGGAGTAGAGGTAAAAGTAGTCAGATCCTTAGATGTATGCATCGAACATCCTTGTTCGAACAGTTTTTGAAGAGGTGTGAACCGAGTAACATCTTTTATGTTTTCTTGAAGTCAGGGTGCATTGATCACGCGAAATTCCACCTGAAACACGAACCAAGAGAAGTGGATCTCTATCTTCAAGCTCTTCAATCCGCTTCCAAGCCGAGGGTTGCACATCTCCAAAACACCTAGGTCAACAAGGTGAAGCAAGGAGAAGACAAGCTGAAGCCATATAATTTCAACCTCCTTTACCACTCAACACTGATCATCTCCAGATCTGAGTAATCAGAACGGAGGGCAATTACAATCCCACTAAAAGGAGGAAAAGGAACCCATAAGGGGTTGGAATCTGGGAAAAGATAGAGAAAAAATTCACCAAGAGTATGGAAAAGCAACAAAGATAAAAGGAAGAAGGAAAACAGAGGAAAGCAAACCAGAGAGAGGGAAAGAAATTCGTCAAAAAAAAGAGAGAGGGAAAGAGAGAATGCGAAAAAGAAGGGAACACTAGTAGCGGAGGGCTGTTGCAAGAGAGACGCCGGCAGCAGCCCCCATGGCGGCCAAAAGATTATTAATTCAAGAGAGAAGGTAAGCATGAACTTTAGAGAGAGAAGAGGATATGGAGCAAGTTATGTTGAGCTTCAACTCTGCACTTCAGGATTCGGTGACATATCCAAGTACTTGCAGGTTGCAGAAGAGGTAGAGAGATTTCATATTGAACGACCATGCAACTTGTATTTAGTAACGCAAGCAACCCATAATGATCCATTGATCCTGCTTCTGTCAACAAACTCCACATATTACGAGTAATGCTTGCTCTATCCCATTTTTAGAGTGTTGAAAATATAAAACGACTAACATTTTTGGTTCAATATCCGGTTCTAGTTCCATTAGGAAAACATAGCTTTTTGGCGTGTCAGCATATGCACCAACATATTGACAATAACTTCACACTACACATTAAAACATTACTATAGCCCCATAACATGCCTCTAACTCCCATTAAAACATTACTATATTTTTTCCAGAAATACCACTAAAAGAAAAAATCCAAAAATACCACTCATTTTTGAAATTTTCCAAAAATACCACCATTTCTCAAAAACCGCCTGGGGGCGCGAATTTCGATGTAAACCACATGGGTGGGGGCGGTTTGGTCCAAAACTGTTGCCTCGCCCAGCGGTTTGGTTCAGAATTTAGTTTTTTTGATAAATCATAACCTAGGTGGAAACTTCAAACTAACGTATCTTTGTGCTCGGGTATACGATCGTAACGAATTTTTTTATTCCGTATAACTTTTTGAGATCTTGCAAGAAACAAAAATCAGTTATGTGGAATAAAAAAAAATTTGATTTATCAAAGAGATTTATATTTGATTTATGAGAATTTTTTCCTCCAACTATATTCCTTCTTTTTTATTATTATTTACCCCACCATTTACTCTTATCAGTACATTCTTAATATTCGGTTAACTACTATAAATATTTTTGTTAAAGTAAACATGTAATTTAATTAAAATTTTCAATTTCATTTTTTATTTATTAAATATTTAACAAGGGCACTTAAAAGTAAACATGTCATATAATAAAAAATTACAATTGACTCGTTTGGTAGAAGAAAATTTGAATGAAGTAATTTGACCTTAGAAATTCTGAATTGACTCGTTTTGATACAATTACAATAATCTATGGTGGTGACAAGTAATTCGAATTGACTCATTTTAAATAACTTATTTCGTAAAAGGAGACAATTAGCTAAATCTTCTCGTTTTGCAATTGAAATGATATTCATAATCCAAATGAATCCAGAAATGACCATGGTAATGCTAGCCATTTCCATCCACAAAAACAAAAGTGGGTGATAAGTACAGAGTTTTGTGGATAATATTAAAAGATATGGAGGCAGATTTTAGAATGAGAATCAGCATCCAATCACATTCACATATCTCTCTCTCCTTCGCTTTGTTGACTGACTCACTGTGGGTAAACTTGAACCGGACAAATAACAACCGAACAAAAATCGAACTATCCGTCGACTTATTATCAATTATCGTCACCGGCCGTTAAAGAAAAGGCAACACCAATAAGGACAATACGTGGACACCTCAACCAACCAACCAACCAAACCAAACCCAAATGAGCCTACAAAGTCAAGTGGGCAGATCTTTTTAAAGAAGAACCAAATGGCAGGTGACCAAGTGGGTAGGTCGTTTCGTTTGTGCAGTTCAACAAATCAAATGTACCGACGCAAAACCAGCCAGCCAGCCAGCCACCCAACCCAACCACTCCCAGTCCCCAGATATTGATTTGAACCCCATCCTTACAAATACACTTGATGGCTCCCCATCCATCACACAACCTTAACCTTAACGCAAAAGGACAGCTTGATTCCCCCCCTTCTTGTTCAGATTTTTCAGGAAAAAAAAAAGGAATTTGGAATCAGAATTTGATCTTTATCAAGTATATTAAAGCTGTATACAAAATGGAAACGAGCTCATAATTAATCTGATTTTTTGAAAAAAGAATTCTAAAACACGAAGGATATTACTTCAAGGATCTTGTGGTTCTGATAAACGTAGCATGTACTGCTAGTTGAATGGATGTTGACTGTGGTAACATGAAACTCAAGCGGATCATTGTTGTGGTAAAAACGGTTTAAATTGAGATAATTGTTTGATTTGGGTTGGATGTTGGAAGTGAGGTGGGGGTGACTCGGAAAGGCAAGCAGGTATTGAAGTTCTCTGTTCAGTTGATTCACGAATTTACATATATTCGTTGTTCGTAAGTCAAAAGGGCGTGTTAGGGGATGCATTGCATTGCCCTTAATTGCTTTTTTGCTTGGTTGGTTAATTATCTTGGGTAAGCTAGTCAAGTGGGATAAGATGGTCACTTTAGATTTGTATATTTTTGGTAATTCTAGTGTGAAACCATAGACAGATTTGTCCTTTGACTGCCCAATTTACAAGATGTATTGTCTACGAAAACTTTCAGAAAGATTGTCAAGAGTTCGTCATTACGACGACAAATGGAGTACATTAAAGAGCATAGTTTGTAGTTTTACTTGCATAAATGACGCATCAATATTTGGATGAGTAATGATAAAATAGTGCGTGAATGTTGGCTGTTTGACATGAAGAAGTACGTCGTTTCAAGTTTGTCTCGAAATATATAGTTTCATTGGACTATACTTAATATTGTTATTAACGGTCAAATGAAAAATGACATTGATCAATAGATCGACGACTGAATTTAGTCAGCCTTATCTTTTGAACACTTTTTTTCAGAATTTGGTAATTCAAGATTTAGTATTAAAATTTAGGTAAAATTATGATAATAAACTTTTGGGAAGAAAATAATTTGTGGTGTACGCAATTGGATTGGGTTACCTAAAAAGCAAACCCCGTGCTTCTTTCTTCTATATCCGCCGGCTTATCGCGCTGCGTTTTGTGAGAAGCAACAGTGGGATTTTGCATTTTTCCAGTTGGGGCTATCTGAGAAAGAGTCCATTTAAAAGGACTTCCGTCAGGAGAAAGGAAGCTCTAAACTGCCATTAGGAGCGTCAGCATTCAGCAAGCGAATCCCCCCTGTCTTCCTCCTTCCCTACATCTCATCTCTCTCTCTCTCTCTCTCTCTCTCTCTCTCTCTCTCTTTTCCATGGCGGTTGACCTTCGCAATTCCTCAGATTCATTCTTCGCCCAACAACTCGACTGGTCGTCTCCTTCTCTTCCCCATGTCTCCTCTGCCACCAGCACCGCTTCCCTCTGCTCCCCGCTCGAGTCCGAGCTCGGCTCCACCGGGTCGGAGACGACGGAGAGCGACCATGACGCCGGCGACGATTATATTGTTGAGTTGACCCGGCAGATGGCTGACTCCATGTTCAGTGAGTTTGACGATCTTATGAGTACCATCCACCCCGCCAAGGTAATTCCACTACTCCTGCATACATACTTGGGACAACCCCACTTCTGCTTTCTGATCCGCTCTCATGCCGCCGACTAATTATATATATCTTCCTTCGGGTGCTCTGTTTTTGGTTCGGAATTCGATTCAGGAGGAGGCGGATAAGTTGGAGAAACAGGGGAATTTTAAGGGACCGGTTGAGCAGGAGTCCAACACTAATGTTAATGTTAATGGTGTGTTGATTGAGAGCAGCCCTGTTTCAGAGCTGCAGAAGAAGCAGGCGCTGATTGATGAGCAAATACGCTCTGTTCAGGTGAGAATTCCGGATTGCATAACATACCGATCCCTCCTCCAATTTTCATCAAGAAGCACTTTTTCTTGTTTTTTCATCTTATAAACAATGGAACTGCTCTGTTTAATTCAATCTGCAGATCCAGAGGCTGAAGCAGGACCAAACAACAAGGAAGCCGAAACAGCAGCAGCAGCAGCAGGGGAAAGGGAGCAGGGGAAATCGCAGCAAGAACAGAGCTTTGGCAAATGAGCCAGCCAACAAGGGACAAAATCCCTCCTCGTGGAAGAACCCACCACAGCAGCCGAGGCCGGCGGTGACGAGGGCGGTTTTCCTCGGCGATCCCGGTAGAATCGGGTCGGCCGGCACCGGCGTGTTCTTGCCTAGAGGAACCGGGAACCCTACTAATCCCGTCGAATCACGCAAGAAGCCAGGTAAACAAATTAACAAAAGTAAAAGACCGAGTATATTTGATTAATTGTTGTGGTTGGAATCTGAAAGGGGAAAGGAGCGGCTGAATAATTATTTTACTTAATTTCGTTGCTTTGTTTTGCCAGTCCCTTCGTTGCTTCGCCAACATTCTTTCTTCTTTTCTGAATAATTAGATTAGAAAACTAAATAATAATTTAATTCCCCAACCGACGAAGACCCAATTCAATTTACTATGTGAACTGAATCTGGATCTCAATATATTCTTTTTATTTTGGGCTAACTCAGCAGGATATTCTACGGTGTTGATGCCGGCGAGAGTGGTTCAGGCTCTGAAGCTCCACTTCGACAAAATGGCAGCTGGCACCGCCGCATCACCGCTAGATCCGCCTCCTGCCGCCGCCTTGCCTCTCCCACCACATGGTGTGTACGCGTTACCGCACCGAAAGGAATCTTTATTTAATTTAATTAATTCTTTTTTGGGTATGTTTTAATGAAATAGATAATTAATTAGCACCGTAATTTGTAGATGCAGTGACGGGAGATGTGAGGTACGCGTTCCTATTGCAACAGAAAAGTCATCCAGCATCGGCGAAGCAGTCAAAGAATAACCAGCATCGACATAAGCACTATCAAGATGTGGGGCTGCCTCAAGAATGGACGTATTAATTAGGGCTTTTGCTTCAGCCGACGGAAACCAAAAAGAAAAATATTATGCAGAAACAGAAGATGACTGATAGACTGACGGTTTCGTCAGGAATAAACAGCAGGCAGCTGAAATGGAATCTGGTAGGGACGGACGATTAGCATGTAGCGGGGAAGGGATTGGTTTTATTTTTATTTTTTATTATTGTTATGTTATGGCTTTGGAAAGATGGAATAGGTCGGCGACCGGCCGGAGTGATCAAAAGATGAAGGCCGGCCGGCCGGCCGGGTTTGGTTGTCGTTCTCTCGCTAGTATCATTATGTGTTGGTTTTAGGGGTGTCTGATTATCATTGTGTTAAGTCCTTCTGTAATAAAGATTCGCAGCCATGTGCGAGCATGACTATGCTCCCAATAATGTTCTCCATTAATGCCTAGTTTGTTGCGGGATAATCAATAAAAGCAAAACCCACTTCATTTTATATTTCTTTAAGAGGATAGATCCTCGGTTCGGAGTGCATACCTCATAATCCAATTCATGTCAAAACAATCTTAACATCCAATTGTATACTAAAGAAATAAAATTCAATTACAATTTGCTTATATTTTTTGAATTTCTAAAATATTCACATATAATTTCAGAAATTCAATTTAAAATCAATACTTGTAATCTTATTTTGAATAAAAGTTGTATAGAACTATGAATGAATACGACATAAAGGCACCCATATCCTTTTATTTTAGCCGCTCACCACTTCATCAAAGTCTAATACTAAAGGACACGCGCCGGCAACGGGGTTTCCAATAATAAGTTTCAAAGAAAAATAATGAAACAATGAGCTCCAAAGTTCAAATAAAAAGACCCCCTCAACTCATCACAAAATAGTTGAAATTAATTCGTCAGCTTCTGAATAAGTCCCATTTTTCTCTTGATTTTTTCTTCTTCTTGAGTTTACAGAGAACTAAATTACATGAACAAAAATATTTTTATTCTATCTCAACTCATCACAAAATAGTTGAAATTAATTCGTCAGCTTCTGAATAAGTCCCCTTTTTCTCTTGATTTTTTCTTCTTCTTGAGTTTACAGAGAACTAAATTACATGAACAAAAATATTTTTATTCTACATAAAAAAAAATCAAGGAAAAATAAGTAATAATGACGAATAAACTCCCATTGAGCGTATTTTGAAACATCAAACAAAGAAGATTAATAAGTGAATAGTCCGGCGATGACGTTGATGAAAGGATTTGGGGATCTTTCTGGTAGAAATTCTGAAAAATAATTCGCGCCATACGACGATGAATTTGAAAAAACAGCTCGACGTGTAAAATAAAAAAAGCCGAATAATTTGGAGAGTGAACATAAATGAAATCTTTTAGATTCTAAAATTATTGTGTTGTTTTATTTTATTTTATAAATCTTATTGGGCCGTTGTTATCAACAAAAGAAATTACTGTGTCGTTAATGTTGTGCTTCTTAGTATCGCACATGGTTAAGGGTGTATTTTTTGATTGGGAGTCTAGGGTGTGTTCGGATAGAAGGATTTGGATTTCAAAATGTTAAATTATGTGTTTGGATGTTCATTATATTTGGTATTTGAATTTGTGTCAAATTCATGAGATGATTTCCAAATACATCTCTAGTAGTGTATTACATGTCAACTTCAAATATTTTAAAAAATGCTGGCAGTGGTGGAAAGGGGACATTACGAAGGCTTTTCAAGACTTCTACGCAATGCAGTCAAAAGCGTGATTTTACCTAGAAGCAGAAAATGGGTAAAATCGTAAAGCGTAGAAGCAAACAATAAAAGCGTAAATTTTTTTATCCATCTTGTAATATAGCTAAAATGTGTTTTGTACGAGATGTACTATTTTAACTGTGAGTGTAAATTTTATAGATAATTGAATAAATACCTGTAGTTCATGTTTAAAATATAATTTCTCACACATAAACTAATTTATGTTAATTTTAAAGTAGAACAAACTCTTAACATCTTAACAATAAGTTCATAAACATAGATCGCAACTCACAAATGAGTTAAAGAATCCAAATTCTTACAATAATCCAAGTTCTTGAAATTAAATCACATAAATGTTACAAAAGATAGAAATAAAACTACATTAATTTATTGGTTTCAACATTTGCATCCGACCGGGGTCTTGGCGATTTCGCTGTGCATTTCTTCTCTTTGCTTTAGAACTGGATACATACATTATAAGTTATCTCAATAACCTATCACTACTTCTCTAACCCGTATGAAACAAACATGAAAAATAGTCAAACAACAAACTGGTATGCATGTACTCCATAAAAATCACTTATGAATGTAGTATCATGTCGCAGTGGGCCAAGTATACGAAGTGACTCCACAACTAGGGTGATGAGCTAGTTGATAACGTCGGTTTCTTCTAGACAGCTCGATTCCACGAACAGACTAAGAAGAATATAAGAGTTTCAAGAATGAACACTCAAATAAGGGTTTTTCATTGATCCAAAGTTGTTCAGCCCGTAGGCATATCACCCTCTATTTATAGAGGTTTACAAAATTAAGAAGAAAACACATAGTAATTAAAGAAGGAAACAAATATCCAAAAGATTCTAACCAATTTTTTTAAATGCTAATGGAAGATTCTTAGCCACTAATTATTCCCTTTCCATGTTTGGCCAACTTGGGCATCAAGAATGTCCTTCTTTCTCCCCTTTCCTTCGCCTTTCCTTCTCATCTTGGACATGGATTACATTGACCTCTTGGTCAGATCCAACTCCTACGTCGAGCATCTCTTGGTCAATTGGAATCTTCTCTTTGCCTTCTCGAGCCTCTAAAGCCTTCATCTTCGGACCATAATCGTTATATATTCCTCGAACTCGAGGGATGTCTTGTGACGTGATCCGGGTTGCATCATTCCCTACCTCTTCAAAATGATTTGTCGTCAAATCTTGATGTTGCATATAGACTCCATTGTAGTCTATTGCCCTTGATCTGGAACATCCACCAAGAAAGAACAAACATCCTCCACAATCCCACGGAATCAAGAGCTCAAACAACCGATCAAACATGGGCTCCAGATCATGATTTTCAAAGCTCAAGTCAGCATGAATGTTTCCGTGAAGCCTCCAGCGAGGTTTCCAAACATAATGGGTTGCTCCAACAACATCCAATCTTGTAGTTCCTCGTCCAAAATCTCCATCCCTCACTCTACTTAAGCCACCGCCATCTTCCTTTTTGCCATCAAAACAATCAGTCGTCCAAAGCAAGTTATCAAAATCAAAACTTGATGACTCATACAACTCAAATCCTGCTCAGAATCAAAACAAAAAGGATCGTGATAGCTCGATTCAAGGCATCCTATTTCAACCACTTCAGCTTCACACTTTCCTGTCCTTCAACTTCTTCTACCGCCTTCTGATCTTGGGAATTGATGGACGACTTATTTTCTTTGATTTCCTCCTAATCTGGAAGGGTTCTGACTTCCTCGACATCCTGCTCTTCATCAATCTTCTCTGTTTCCAGATTCTCCTGTGCCTCTTCATAAAGTCGTTGTAATTGCCTTGTACTGGCTTCTCCTCGGCTTCTTCTTCCTCCTCTTCAGTCTCGACCTCTCCATTTCCAGGCTTGAACTTGTAATCACCATTATCTAGTAAGATCATAGCACGCTTTTTCGGACATTGATTCGCCACATGACCTCGACCTTGACACCTGTAGCACATAATAAAACTCGAACGTGTGTTAGTAGTTGCCTTCTCTCTAGCATTAGTGGCAACCGACTTGGGCACTAGCTTAGGGTCCTCCTTCTTCTCAAATGGAGCCTGAGTTTCACTCGGAGGTGCACTTATGGATGGTGTAACCCTCCTTGCGTAGCCTGCCCTTTGCTGCTTCTCGACCTTAGTAGCCATCTGCACCAAATCCTCAATCTCCACGTAGTGGTGAATCTCGACGACCTGCTTGATCTCCTGATTGAGGCCATTGAGAAATAGAACCATGGTTGCTTCTCGATCTTCATTGTCACGAGCTCAAATCATCAATATCTCCATTTCCTTGAAATAATCCTCTATGCTCTTCGCACCCTGTCTCAACAGGTGAAGATCTTGATGCAAATCTCGTTGATGATGAACGGGCACAAATCTCCTCCTCATGGATGCCTTCATTTGATGCCATGTCGTGATGGGCTATTCTCTGTGCAACCTTCGTTCAGCACCCAGCTGGTCCCAACAAACAACCGCATAGTCAGAAAACTCAAGAGCAGCAATGATTACCTTCTTCCGTTCGGAGTAGTCGTGGCACTCGAACAAGTACTCCATCTTTCTCTCCTAGTATCAGGATTACTCCTCCCTTGAAATGATGGCAACTTCACCTTCAGCCCCCTCATATCGTCATCCCTATGCTGGGGATACTCTTCCTCCTCGTAGTACTCTTCATAGTCACGAATGTCAGGAGCTCTACGAACTCGAACTGGTGGTCTCCCTCCTCGACCTCTATCTCCTCTGCCTGGTAAAGGTCTGAGATTGTTGGGACCCAGAGGTCGGCCTCGCCTTCCACCCGGTGGTGGTGGTGGTGGATAATCGTCATCGTCGTCCTCCTCCTCCTTGGGGTGGAGATTAGGGCTGGCAATTTGGTCCCGGACTGTTTGGTTTTACCCGAAATCGGACCGTATAACCCGGACTGGGATCGGATAGCAAACAATGCAATCTCATATTTGGGCTTAGATTTGAGGTAAAAAAACCGGATAAGACCGGATAAGAGAACCCCAACACCTAAAATCAAGATAAAATTGGGACCGGGCCGGATCAAGACCGGACTGTATCCAATCCAATCTTTGGTCCTTATATTCCCGAAAAGACCGGACTGAGACCGGATCAATTTGGTCCAATTTAACCGGACCGGTCCGTATAGCCACCCCTAGTGGAGATTGATAGCTCGGGTCATCTCATCGAGGCGAGTGTTGATCTGATCCTGCTGATCGCGCATCATCCGAGTAAGTCGTCCCACAAGAGCATCCATGACGGTTTGTGGAATGCCCTCCAGGTTCTGAACTTCCTGATTGTTGTGAGTTTCAACTTGCTCTTCCATTTAGTTCCTCGCGTATGTATAAGACCGAATCCATTCAATTTCTAAAAAAGGATTACTACTCAGAAACTCGAAACAAGAAGTTATCCGTCAATGCTTAAAGTTTCAGAATGATAATATGAAGAAAGGCCCTCACAAAATCACTCCTTCACGTGTTTGCACTCGAATGAGATCACTCGTTTTCTTACCACTCGTGTTTCACTCAGCATAATTGGCTTTTACCCGATATTGATCTCACGAAGCTTCTTTCCACTCTCTCTCAGAAACCCTTGATGAGCTTCTTAGTCCGCAAGTAGAACAAGCAATAAAACAGTAGCTCGAGTGGCAAGAAATCTCAAGCAACTAACTAACACAATCAAAACTAGACCAAGAATGAACAAAACTTGTTCAAAACACAAACTTGCGTGATCTGGCCTCTGTTCTTGTCTTTTCCAAGCTGTTCTTCCTGAGTGTTAAGCTCATTTTTTTGTTTTTTCTAGAATGATATTTCCAACAGATTCACGTAACAATCAAGAAACAAAA